ATTGCTATCATGCCTAACTAAAATATGTATTTAGATATGTAGTATTTAAGGAGCTTCTTACTAGAGTTATCAAGGAATTATTAAAGAAAAAAGTACAATTTAAGCAACCAGTTATTTTCAACTAACAAACAACCTACACATTATTATTTTAGTCTGTTTATAGGACTCTAAATTATTGCTTCACGTAACTATGTTGATACAATGAAGCCCAAATTCAATTCCCACAAAAACAAGATATGCAACAGCATTTATTTGGCTCATCAAAAAGAGCAGTAGTTGACAATACTCCGAACACTGGGACTTCCACATTGCTCAGTTCAAGGCAAAGAAACCTTCCTCCCCGTTTAAGTACTCTACCAAACACACCAAATGGAAATGGAAAACAAGTTGTGAAGTATCATACAAAAATCATAGTATAATTCACACAAAAATGTATTTGGAGCAATTAATCGAACATTTGATATGCACATTAATTGAAAGTAGTAAAATTTTCTCATGATTCTATGCTAAATCCAAATATTCCACAACCAATCCACAAAACCAACATCAACTACGCTCGTACTCTCAACAAAACTCAAATAATTTCAATCATGAGCAAGAATTTAAGACAGAGAAGAAAAATTTCGAAACCCATAAAGTTGAGTCAATTTACCTTTGATTTCTTGAAATTTTTATGGATGGAAGTTTGAATTCGTGGATGAATGATGTTGGGATATAATTAATCTTCAAAGTCCACCGAATTTGGAGAAAAAGGGATGGTGTCGATGAAAATTTTGAAAAAATCGTGAGAGAAGCCGGGTCTTTGTGTCTGTGTGTATGTAATTGAATGGGGTGGGTTTTGGGAAGTATAAATTACTATGATTAGAAGTTTAAATTTATATTAAGTGCATTAATCTAATTGGTTTTTTTTAGAGTAGCCTAATTTTCCCATTTGAAATCTACCGACCCAGAAATCGGCTTACTTGGATTACGGGCCATTCTCGAGTCACTTTTATGATCGATTTTACAAAAACTGTTTATTATAGTTGAGAAAGTAGGATTTTGTCAAAACGATTTCACCCTTAATTTTCTGACCACAAAAAATTTAACAAGAAAAGAAATAAAAATAATGATATTCATAGTGAAGACTATCGGAGTCACCCTACGTAATATATATGTGTCGCTTGGTTATTAAATGCACAAGTCAATAAAAAACTATCATATTAATGTATCAAATAAGAAAGCGACATATAAATGTCACGTAATCTTCACTATGAATAACATTAGTAGTAATTTATGTGGATAAAAATGCTATAGACCAAACTATTAATTAAATAATTATATCACGCCAAAAGAACATGTTATTTATTTATTGAATATTAATTTACTCATTTAACCTATGTTTTGTTTAGCTAAAAATATTTACAAAAGTTTGAGTCAAAGTCAATAATTAATTTTGACTACAGATTTTATGATATCCATAACTTTCATTGATTTCCACTACACATTTTATTAACTTTTACTATAATCTCCTAAAATTTTGATTTTTAGCTAAATTATCGGAACTTAATGAAACTGTAAATTCTATTGAAGTAAAATGTGAAGAAAAAAAATTAGTTGGCTTCTTGCCCTTGTTAGTAATTCCAAGTTGATTGTTGGCATTTTTTTTTTTCTATTTATTAACATGATTCAGATTCGTTCACACTTTTAAGGGTAAATTGTTTTAAGATGTTCCAAACCTTTCAAAAAGGTATCTTGGAGTTCCAAAACCTTTCATTTTTGCACCAAAAGTACAAAACTCTAAATTAATATAGAGGAAATTACACTGGATGTCATTTTGCTATCATGTAATTACCAAAATGTCACATTTCTAGAGTAGTTGCAAGATTGTCAATTTTGGACATTTTTACCTTTGTAGATAAATTAAATACCTAACATGCATTCAATAAATGAGATTTGACTAGACTAGACATTTGAACAAAAAATGTGTAAGTTGTCATAATTTTTTGGAGATTTAAAAAAACAAAAACAAAAAACTTAAAACCCTAAACTCGCTCCACTGCCTAACAAATTTTCACCAGCTCCAAGGTTCTCTCACCTAAAAATATTTTCTATCTCAAAATTCTCTATTTCTCCATACAATTCGAAATTTTTTGTTTTGAGGTTTTTAGTTTTGTAGTTATAGCGAGTGAAGAACATCAGACTAATGATCCACTCCCTCTAAAATCATGCTCAGATGCTCCACTGGACAGCTTCTTTTCGTCTTCTTCTACCTCCATTGGAGCAACAAGTGGAGTGCCAAGAGGCCGGGGAAAACCACCGAAAGTGAAGCAAGTCGTGGCTGCTCCGTTAGGGGCTTGATTGCAACAAAACAAGTAGTTCAGGGCTTCAATGCTAATTGTTGTTTCTATTTATAATTTAATTTTTAGTTCTTGTAGTTTGGGTTAATTTTAATTTAGGTTGTGATTGAGATTGTGTGACTTTAATAATGTTGTAACTTATTGTAAATTTATTAACGAATATTGCAGCTCTTGAAATAATTGTTTTCTTTTGTTATGGATGAATTTGGTAGATGGTAGAGATCTTTACCAAATAGGAGGCACCAGCATGTCTCTTTTTTTCGTATGTGTCACAAATCCGCAGTATGTGCCAACTGTCGAGAATGACATAGACAATCTGTCTAGAACGGCAGATGAAATGCCGGGATGTTATGCAATGTTTTGTATGTGGAACCGTATTTATCTTTTTAATTTTTAGTTAGCCATTGTCGGGGATGTAGTTGGTAACGATTTTTACCGAATGAGAGGCAAAAGTATGTCCCTTATGCATCGTATGTGTACTTGTAGTTTGCAGTCTGTGCCAACTGTCGAGAACGACAAAGACAATCTGTCGGGAATGACAGATGAAATGTTAGGATGATATGAAATGTTTTGTATGTGGATCAATATTTTGCATTTTTACTTTTTTTGTTAGGGATGTATTTAATAACGGTCTTTACCGAACGGGAGGCAAAAGCATGTCCCTTATGCATCGTATGTGTACTTACAATTTCTAGTATGTGCCAAGTGTCGAGACTGTCGGGAATGACACATGAACTGTCGATGTTATACGATGTCTTATCTATTTATACGTATTGTGCTGGTGTCTAAAACATCTCTTCTATTCCCACAAACGATAGTGGAATGATAATCATACTTTCAGTTCAAATGTTGAATAGAAGCCGAGAATATGTTGGGAAACACCATGCTATATGGAGAATGACATAAATAATCGACCGTGATCGATAGTTGAAGTGTCGCATGTAGTGCAATACTTCGACATGAGGATACGTAATTGTTATGCGAAATAATGAGCAATAATAAAAAGAAAATGATAATATAAGTTCAAAATGTACAACGCAAGGGGGAACATTTTGTATTACAACTTCAACCACATCCGAACATGAAGTCGGTTTAGGTGAGTTGTGTTACATTGGGGTTCGAACATTTGGTCTAGTTATGACCAACTCTATTACAACGAGTGCATTTTCTGAGTCATGTGGTAGACATGGTAGACTCGTATCTGGATCGCTTATCGGTGCGGAGATCAAGAATACCAAGTTTTTTCTTCAACTATTAAATAAGTTCGGCTACCGTAATACTTGTCGGCACTAAAATGGAAATGGTTTTGTCCCCTCTCCACTTCCATTCGTCGTCCACATTTGCAAAATTTCCCCGTGAGAGACGATGAATTTCAAATCATTACTCATACCTGAAATGTTGAGATTGTAATTATAAGAAGCCTGTACAATCAATATATTGATATTGAATACCATCAATTGTGGAAAACAGCTAATCAAAGTTTTCAACAGTTCTCAAGTGCTGAAATCGACAGTTGAATTGTGTGTCCTAACAATTTGTAAACTGTCGGGGTCCGACGGTTTGAAACACTATATTCGACCATTTCAGTACGAACTGTCGGATTGGTTTCAAAACAGTTATTTCAGAAATTTTTAGGAGGAAATTATTGCAAAACATTAATGGTGATAATCAATTTTTATTCAACATGACAATGTATTTTAAAAAAATAAGTCAATGTTTCATTAAGCCCCTGTTTGTCTACCATTAATCCAAAAAATTGTTTGCTATAGTAAGATTTTCTACCACACATTCACCTAATAAAATATTCTACACACAAAATAATAAAGTTACTTTAATTTTCAACCATACATTCTATAAAAAATACTATTCATTACACTAATTTTCTCCCAATAATGGGAGACAAACAAGCTATAAATATGTAATCGATCACATTTAATGATCGATTCCAAATATCTTTACCATCAAAACAAATTTCAAAAATCAAAGAAATCAATGAGTAATAGTTTATTATCACCATGTTGTATTTAACATTTATGAAATAATGAGTTAAGAGATGAAATTACAAACAATTTGTAATAATTAACCCCTTCAAATGGATGATCAATTAAATACTCATGTGTTCTTGAAGAATGAATGAAGAAGATATTCTTGGAAGAAACTATGTATTAATGAATGAGGATGTAGGACTTAGGGTTTGGGAATTAGGTTTTGAATTTCTTTTATTTATTTTTTGGAAGAAAATATGTTTTTTCCCCTAAATATTCATATATAAAATGAATAAAATAATCAAAATGTAATTATCACATCAAATCATTAATGACATTCCAATCAAGCATTAATTGCTCTTACAAATGTGACATCAAGGATAGTTTAGACATTTGACAACAAAAAAGTGACATTTTAAAACAAATTTAGTGCACATAAATTTTTATTTTTTTTTATTTTGTGAATTTCAAATTTAGTGACATTTATGAAAATCTCTCATTAATATATAGTGCTAGATTATCAAAAAGTCTGTTAGTGACCAAAAGTTAAGAATCAACACCCATTTAACCAATTTAAAGAAGGGTAAAATGGTCTTTCATATTATCTTAATTAAATTAATAAAATAGAAAACATAGTAGGAAAATAATTAAAAATAGAAAAATAAAATTTTCAAAAATGAAATTAGTTCCCTACTCAACCCCTTCCACCTCCAGGTAGCCACTACCACTCCACTGCATTACTCATCCCTACCATAGAACCACCACTTTATCTCCCCACCACCAAATTAGGTTTAATGATGAAACAAAATTTCTTTTTTTGTGAAACAAGATCTAAAAGTTTGGTTCACTGCATCTTTGGTGTTTTTGCAACGAACTTTGATTTTGCAAATCAAGTTTTTGTCTTTATATTCATTGCCAAACTAGACCTCACATTTGCTTTCTCGACAAAATAAGTTAGAATATCTAGTTTCATTGGTTGGTGGTAGTCGAACAGGGATGGGGGTAGTTTATGACAAGTTAGGTTGAGGGACGATGATGGGTGGGGATTGCACGAGGAAAGACCATTTTTTTAAAGTTATTTATCTTCTATTTTTAATTTCCTTTTTTGGTAGCCTTTTTTATTATTTTAAATAGAAATAATTGCAGTCATGATCCTAAACTTTTCAAGTCTTTGCATGTTTTACTCTAATATTTCATTTGTTGCACACCCATGGTCCAAAACTTTTCAAGTGTGTACGTCTAGAGAAAAGGAAAAAACATTGAAACCTTCTTCCCCATGACCCACCCCAAAAGTCAAACGAGGAAAACTCCCCCAACCATGGGACAGGCGACCATCGCTGCCTACCCACCCAAAGTTACACTTCAATAGCCGCCACCATCGACACCACGCCAAATCGCCAACCGTCGCCGGACTGAAAACTCACAATTTAACGAATTCATTCCTTAAAAACCCTCAATTTCGCATATTTAATTTCGAATTTGAATACTTATTTCCCATATTCCCAAAATTTCCTTTCCCACAATCACCTTTTGTACGTTAGGAAAACCAAAGTATCATTTCAAGAACTGTATGAAACTGGACGAAAGCAAGATAACAGTAATGGAAGCATTAGAGGTGAGTATAATTTCGATGCATTTCTTTCGTTTCTTTGCTTTGCATCCTCAACCGTGATTTTGATGGTTATCTATGGAACATAGAAGGGGGTCGTAGGGTGCCTCAGGAGCAAGATTTTGGTGTAGCAGTATGTGGTTTTGGTAAGTGGAATGGTGGTCGGAGTCGTGATAAGGTAGCATCAATGGATGAGGATTTGTGGGTTTTGCTTTTGGGGAAAATTTGTTAAAAGAGGGTTGAGAAAGTGGAGGAGGATTTGTGAGGCTCCGCGACAATTATTTGGGTATTGTTGAGGTAGTTGGAGAAACTTGAAATTCAGTTGTTGGGTGGGCGAGGGTGGTCGTTCGGCCAACGGTGGTGGTGGGTTTTCCTAGTTTGGTTTTGGGGCTGGAGTGGGAGTGGTGGGAGTGGGGGTGAGGTGCTGGGTAAAAGGCCGGCTTGGACATGGTTTGATCTCAATTTTTAAGGTAATCGAATCGAACCGAACTAGAATTGTTGGATTTTTAGAAAGTGGAACTGTCATGTTCACATTCGATTCCATTTGGTTCTATACCATAATTAAATTTTTTTAATATTTACACAAAATTATATAAATCCAACCAATGATATGCTCAACCTTAACTTTTACAAAATTTGTAGAAAAAAAATATGTTGGGCTCAAGTTGAGTTCGGTCCTTCGGAGTTTGAGTCTTTGGCACTTAAGTTTATCAATTAATTAGTTAATTGATAAATTTATTTAGAAAAAATGAAAATAATTTGGCTTATTCAATATAAATTTTTTTAAAAAATAATGAGATTCGATTCTTCAATTATATATTAGTTTAGAATTGAGAATCGACGTTAAAATAATTTGGCTTATTCAATATAAAAAATTAAAAATTTAGGAGATTCATTTATTCGGTTCTCGGTCTAGAATAAAGAATCGAACCAAATCCGTCGATTCCTGATTCTAGTACTCATTCGGATATTTAAACTAAGAAGAATTGCACAGAACTCTTCAGCACTTAAGAGTGTTTTGTCCAACCCTGAGAAAAGTTTAAGGTTTTTTCCCTTTTTTTTTTCATTTTTTATTTAATTATTATAATTGTTATATGAGAATATATAAAATTACCATTTTACCATTATTAAAATGGTCAATAATATGCTCAAAATCATTTTTTGGTCAATTAACAATGATCCGGAGGGATTTCATCTATTTGTCATCCAATCGCACACACTGGAAAATTTGGGGCCACGAGTGCAATAAATGAAAGATTATGATAAAACCTGCAAAATAAAAAAATTGAAAGGTTTAAGGTCGTGGCCACAATTATCCCTTAAATAAGATATATGGAAAAGACCATCTTGCCCTTCTTTAAATTGATCAAATAAAAGTTCATCCCTAATTTTTTAGTCAACTGTCATTTTTTGAACTAAAACTGTCTATGGGACCGACCACTGCATATTCATTTAAGAGTTTGGGTGTTCGGAGCAAAACTGAAAGATTTGGGTCCTGTAGCACTTTTTTGAAAGGTTTCTGTTTAGAAAAACTAATGGAGTACAAATATTCTGAAATTATTCTACAAGACAACTCGTGCCCCTCGCGCTCCATTAAAAAACTCCTCTAGGAATATAATCCACAAAAATTTGGATTTTGCAACTATTCATAGGTCACGAGCACTATAAAATTACCTCATCACAAAATGAAAATTTACAAGTGATTCAGTAAAAGAAAGAAAAATTAAAAGTTGATTAATTTATTGGGAGGGATAATGCCAAAAGCACATTTTGTTGCAGTGCATGGTGTTGGCCATGGAGCTTGGGTTTACTACAAGCTGAAGCCGCGTATCGAGGCGGCTGGCCACCGGTTGACGGCGCTTAACTTGGCTGCCGCTGGTGTCAATGAAAAGAAACTGGAGGAGGTTCGTTCTTTGTCCGAGTACACAACGCCGCTGTTGGACTTTTTGGCCTCAGTTCCTGAGGATGAGAAGGTGATACTTATCGGACATAGTGGTGGCGGAATGAGCGCCGCCGTGGGCATGGAGAAGTACCCGGAGAAGATTGCTGTTGCTGTGTTTTTGAATGCAATTATGCCAGACTCCAAAAACAGCCCTTCCTATGTTTTAGAGCAGGTAATATTCAAGAACACCAAAAAAAAAAAAAATGTGTATTGTTTTTTACTATTATGTGGATATACTAACTGACAATTTTAATTTTTTGAAAAGTATTCTGGCAAGACTCCACTGGACGCATGGCTAGACACCCAATTTTCAGCCTACGGTGATCCACCCATAACAGCATTAACCGTGGGTCCTAAATTTATATCGAACTCCCTTTACCACCTATCTCCGGTCGAGGTACATTTTCTCCGAGATTGGCTATATTTAAAAATTACTAATTGCAAAACAAATACAATCACAACCGTGATTGACCATCGACCATTATTATATAATTTTACGTGTAAAATTATTTTACAGGATCATGCACTAGGGGAACTTTTGGTGAGGCCGGGGTCATTGTTCATAGAAGATTTACTTCAGGCAGATAAATTCACTGATGAAAATTTTGGATCCGTGCCTCGGGTTTATATAGTAGCGTTGGAAGACAGAACGATACCGGCGGAATTTCAACGGTGGATGATCGAAAACAATCCGGTTAAGGAGGTGAAGGAGATCAAAGGTGCAGACCATATGCCAATGTTTTCCCAGCCAGATGAACTGTGCAAATGTTTGGTTGAGGTAGCAGAAAAATATGCTTAAAAATGTTCAAGTGATGTTGATCGTTCATACTGCTATGTTCTTGTTTTGTTGCTTTCTTTTTGCATTATGTGTTGCACTATGACGGATGGATGGTTTGGAACGGTACTATTGTTATGTAATAAATGTTGGAAAACGGTGCTATTTTGACATAATTTTGAGTGGGGTATCATTCTTTCATTTTGAAATATCGAAGTAGTCCAAAAATCGAAAATATATATTTACTTGTCAAAACGATGTTAAGATGAATGAAAAATTAAAGGTCAAAATATACCTATTGAAAAAGGTTTATGTGTCGAGGGAAGGAAAAATGATAAGACAATAATTGGTTTATATATGGTCACATTTTATGAAGTGTAATCATGTGTAAAATAGATGTTCTTTCTACGTGCGAGCTCGGGAAATATAAATTACGGACCCGATTAGCATCTCGAACCATTTTAAAGTGAAACTAAAGTTATAAGGGTGTCAAAATATGTCGACCCACCTCGAGTTCGGGCACCAACACGAGATAAGTATGGTCTAGGTTCATCCTAGTCCTGTCCATGGTGGGCACCATCGTGGTCGGCCAACATTTTAATTTTTGGATTCTCAAGGACATATTCAAAACCTCCCACCCATTTATTGGGCTCATCCTTTTCCAAAAAACCAAAATCCATCCAAGGATCCATAACTTTGGAAGCAGTAGTATATCATACCGCTTAATAAGTATTTCAACGAACTTGGTGAAATTTAAAGTTCAATGACTATAAGTTATTTGGACTCAACCCATCAAATTCAACACTATTCAAGGAACCCGACCCATCGACAAATCGTGTACACCCTTTTGACCAGGTTTACGATCAGGTCTCCTAAACCTCTCTAGTCATTTAAAATTTTATTTTATATACATTCACAACTTAGAACGACAAGATTCGAGACGACACATTTATGGTGCATGTGAACGCCCTTTTCATTCCAAGTCAAGAGAGTAAATCAAGAGCAACGTGCAAACATCTAACAATATGCTTCTATGTAAAACAAGTTTTGTCAACAGTCGGAAAGAGTATTTGTCATAATTTTATATATAAGAGAGTTTCAACTCTACTACACCAATCAACAACGAACATTTAAGATTCATGTGGCAGGTACCTTCTGTTAAACATTGTGCTTGACATTTTGGGCCTAATGATGTAACCCATTCTAGATGGCCCTATGATGCTGCCCAAATTAAACTGAGTGGCAATTATATAAGGGAAGATTACATAAATCATGCTTTTACTTTTACCTATTTCAAAAATCCCAAAACATGTTTCAAATTTCAAAATTCAGGTTTCTATTAAATTTTTAATTATGAAATAATAATTATTTAATTAATTTATTATTAATACTTAATTTTACTATAAAATAATTAACCCACCCCTCCTTCACCACCCCTACAACTCCGGGGCTATTCCGGCGACCTTTCCGGTCACCACTCTTCTCCGGCGACAGTTCCGACGACTTTTTTGATTCCGGCGAATATGTTAAGGTCACAAATCTATACAATTTGGTCACAATTCGAAATTTTTTAGGTCACAATTCAAAATTTTCATAGGTCACAATTTGTTCATCGGTCACAACTTAAAAATTTAAAAGTCACAATTTTTTCATCGGTCACAAATCACAAAATTTGTAAGTCACAATACTTATTTACGGTCACAAACATCCCATTAATTGAACATATATTATATTTTAGGTCACAATTTATCAAATTATTGGTCACAAATTAATAATGTCTATGTCACAAAACATTTATTGGTCACCGTTTATCTACTTCGTTGGTCACATATCATTTATGGTCACAACCATCACATTAATTGAACATAACTTATATTTAGGTCACAAACAACCAAATCATTGTGACAGCATGCGTTGGTCACATTTTATTTAATTCACAGGTCACAATCCAACCAAATTAATCGTTTGTGACCATCAGTTCACCATTGCCTCCACCAGCGTTGTCGCATCTCCACCACCGTCGCAAGCACGACCACCCACACCCAACCATCGCATAGCAACACAACAATCGCACAAAAACGCACCCATCTCACAGAAACACAACCCCCACGCACTGAAACACACCCAAACCGCAACAGCCACCACCACCAACAGCAGCAACCACCAACAACAGCCATACCCACCAACGCGCTACACACCCACAGATCAGCCGCCTCTCCGATTCACACACACACACCGAGCCACACACCTACAGGAATGGCAGCAACGACACACCCACACACCCAGCACAGACCCGCACACCAATAGCACGGTCTAGACGCTGTGAAAAGAGGAGACGGCGGCGGTGGCGGCTGAGCACAGAGACGGCAGATCTGAGATAAAGGGCAGAGGAGACGGCGGGTGAGATAAAGGACACAGACGACGAATCTGAGAAACCCTAGGGAAATACCTAGCTGGATCTTCGAGCGCCACCGTCCGCCGCTTCGAGCGCCCAGTCGCCGGCGAGGAAAAGGGAGAAAGTGACGGAGGAGATGCACGCGTTTAGGGCAGAGAGAGAGAGAAAAAACGGTGAGGGAGAGGGACTGATGGTAGAGAGAGAGAGAGACGGTGATAAATGAAGGAAAATGATTAAATTGAATTTGAAAATAATTATTAATATTAAATTCTTTTAATCATAACCTGAATTTTGAAAAATTAAACTTCTTAGCTGATTTATGAAAATGGTAATCTAAAAGTAGGGGTGACTGTAATTTCCTCATTATATAACCTTAATACCAAGAACTTTAGAATTTATGATTTTCACATATAGATTAATTGATTAAGAAACATACATTGATTCATAGTAATAGTTGAAAGATTTAAACCTGCAAAATAGGAACTAATAAAATCTAGAAACTGTTATCTCTCTTTTCCTTACTGTTTTTGAATAATATAATTGATGTGCTTCATTCACATTGATAGGCAGAGAGAAGCAGTCCAAGAGTCATGCAATCCAAGGGTCATGAAAAAACTATTTACTTTCCATCAAAGTGGATAGGTATAAAAACTGCCATTTCTCAATTGACCAATAGAATTTTAACAATAATAAACCACTTTAATTAATTTATTAATAATATTATTTGGACCACATTAATTGATTTTACATTCTCCCACTTGGTCCATGTAATATTATATCGTTATGTGGTCTATAACATAATGCGCATATGAAAAATTAAAATTCCCCGTCCATTGGTCACTTAATATATCATCTTTAAGTAAACACTAAATAAGAGTCATGGCGGTTTTACATCATCATTTCTACATAATTCCTTCCATGTACTACAATATTATTCCCTACCTAACATGAGACGTAATGAGAAGTTCGATAACTATATTTCAATAATGTCTTTGAAAAAACTGTCACTGCCACCATTCATATAATCCATTCATGTATGTATACCAACTATCATGACAAGAATAATATTTTGTCAAAAACAATACATACACGAGCTCAAAGTGTAAATTACTTAAATTCCATAACGTCAATGATCATTTCCAATAATGCACATTCTTTCAACATGTTCATTAAATGTCTTTGGTGGCAATCCTTTCGTTAGTAGATCTGCAATCATAAGATTGGTGCTACATGCTCGATTGACACATTTTGTTTTTGACCTTCTTCTTTAACGACAAAGTATTTCAATTCCATGTGTTTAACACCTTTACAGTACTTGTCGTTATTTGAAAAGAAGACTGCTGAATAATTGTCATAATAAAGTTTCAGCGGCTTAGCAATACTATCAACAATTCCAAGCTCCGAAATAAAGTTCGGCAACCAATTTCCTTGAACTATAGCCTCAAAGCATGCCACAAACTTAGTTTCCATAGTAGATGTAGCAATGACTAACTGTTTTGCAGTTTTCCATGATATAGCCCCTCCATCTAAGAGGAACATATAGCTAAATGTGGACTTTCTAGTATCCACACATCCAGTAAAGTCTGAATCCGAANCAATATTATTCCCTACCTAACATGAGACGTAATGAGAAGTTCGATAACTATATTTCAATAATGTCTTTGAAAAAACTGTCACTGCCACCATTCATATAATCCATTCATGTATGTATACCAACTATCATGACAAGAATAATATTTTGTCAAAAACAATACATACACGAGCTCAAAGTGTAAATTACTTAAATTCCATAACGTCAATGATCATTTCCAATAATGCACATTCTTTCAACATGTTCATTAAATGTCTTTGGTGGCAATCCTTTCGTTAGTAGATCTGCAATCATAAGATTGGTGCTACATGCTCGATTGACACATTTTGTTTTTGACCTTCTTCTTTAACGATAAAGTATTTCAATTCCATGTGTTTAACACCTTTACAGTACTTGTCGTTATTTGAAAAGAAGACTGCTGAATAATTGTCATAATAAAGTTTCAGCGGCTTAGCAATACTATCAACAATTCCAAGCTCCGAAATAAAGTTCGGCAACCAATTTCCTTGAACTATAGCCTCAAAGCATGCCACAAACTTAGTTTCCATAGTAGATGTAGCAATGACTAACTGTTTTGCAGTTTTCCATGATATAGCCCCTCCATCTAAGAGGAACATATAGCTAAATGTGGACTTTCTAGTATCCACACATCCAGTAAAGTCTGAATCCGAATATCCAATGACTTCAAAGTTATCAGATCTCTTATAAGTGAGCATGTGGTATTTCGTTCCTTGCAAGTATCTCAACAAATCTGAGTATCCATTGACCTCCAAATTATCAAATCTCCTATAAATGAGCATGTGGTCTGTTGTTCCTTGCAAGTATCGCAACACTTTCTTTGCAATGTTCCAATGATCAAGTCCTGGGTTACTTTGATACCTGCCCAGCATTTCGACAGCAAAACTGATGTCTGGTCTGGTGCAAGTCTGAGCATACATTAAACTTCCCACAAGAGATGCATAAGGAATAACTGTCATTGGTTTACGTTCCAATCGTTCTTAGGACATTTCATGAGACTAAATTTGTCTCCTTTTTAAG